CATACAGTCATCATAAAACAAACAAACAAACAAAACCCAAATCCCTACCCCTGCAACCTGCCACAAACTGCCACAAAAAGAATTGGCTGGATAAGAACTGAGTGTTAACATGTAATTTTCTTATTCTGTTGCCAAATGGCAATTATATTCCCCTCGATCTCTTTCAATATTTTTCACTTCTGACATCTCAACTACTTAACTAAATAAAACACGTTAAGCTCTAAGGCCAGCGATATCCAACCTTTTGGCATCTCTGGGCTACACTGAAGAAGAGTTGTCTGGGGCCACACATTAAATACACTGTGACACATAATCACAAAAAAACCCTTCATAAGTTTTAAGTAAATGCATGATTTTGTGTTGGGCTGCATTCACAGCCATTCTGAGCCTCATGAAGCCCACGGGCTGTGGGTTGGACACCCCTGCTAAGGAGTGCTATTTTAAGAAATCTTCACGTGCAAAAAATTCAGGTGATTATTGACTCAGCCAACAAGTGTTTATTTTTTGCTAGGAAGGCAAGAATCAACCAAGAGGAGGCTTGGGAATGGGAGTTTGGGAACTGAGAATGAATAAATAAATCACACTTTAAATCACGTCAATGGGAAACAAAACTCCTCCCATTTAAAGATCATTAAAGGGGCTCTGGTGACTGTTAGCAGCTGCCAACTGGCCTTAGGTGCAGCCGCTTCCCAGTGAGATCATTCTATGTGTTGTCATGAGACTACGCAAAGAAACAAGTCCTGTTTGCCCTTCGCCAATCTACCTTTGTTTCAGGTTGAAAATCATATTCCTTTGCTGCATCTTTTCCTATAAGGCCAAAACAAAAGAATAACCCCCACACAGAAAAGAATCCTCACCCAGTTGGAACCATTAACCCCCAGAAAGAATAAATGCTCTTCTCTCTTAACCCACAGCTGCGTCACTGTCGGCTTCCGTGAAGACGAGGCTTTTTCAAGCTGCTCCCACCTGTTGAGCATGTCTTGCTCTTTGGGCCGCTCTCATTCTTAGCTCTGCTGGTTCTGACTGTGTGTTTCGGTATTTTCACTGCCCCTGTGGCCAAACCCTACTCTCTGTCTTCAGCAACCCTCTTCCTCCCACCTTCCCCTATAATTTTCCTTCCCATCCTTTTGAGTGACCAGGCTGTGCTCGCCTCTGTATCCCCCGGGTTTTTAGTTCAGGGCTTAGCACATAATTAATGAAAGTTTAATAGAAAGTGAGATTCTAGCTCAAGATCTTCAAAGACCTCAAAGTAGAAAACAATTTTACTACTACCATTCATCTGTTTCAGGTATTGTGGGTATAATCCCTTCTATTTTCGTTTACTAGCTTTGTATTTTTATAGTTATTTTTACCTCTTTGTAGATCTTTGACATCCTTATTCCATTAGATTTGGGTCCTGCATACTTATGAAGAAAGCAGGACAGTTGTTATCCCATCCTACAGCTGAGCAAACTGAGGCAGGGATTAAATGACTTTGTCCCAGTCCATGAGTGACAGGACTGTGACTAGACTCTACACTGTAGTTCTGTACACTGTGGTCCTATGTTAGCTGGAGCATAAATATCCTTTTAGAACCATATATAAAAAGATATACACACAAAATATATATATATGTAAAATATATTAAAAATAAAATATATGTAGTTTCTTTATTAGAATATAGCAGTCTGTGGCATGTTTCTCTTTGGCTTAAGTGTTTTATGAATGGGGACACAAACCCCCCAGAGTTTATTTATTAAAAATTATATATTTATTTTCACGAGTTTAAACTTCGGGAACCTTCCGAGTACTCTCCATTTGATACAATACACCTATGGAGACATTTTTCCCACTGTTTAACAGTTTTTGAACTCGTCAATTTTGATGCCCTCTAGTAGTTCTGCCAGTTTTTGTTTCATCTCTTCCACATCGGCAAGATGTTTCCCTTGAGGATTTTTTCATCTGAGGCAACAAAAAAATGTCTCTTTGGGATGACATCAGGTGAATAGGGAGGGTGGAGCACCAGGGTCATGCCATTTTTGGTCAAAAGCTGCTGAACACTCAGTGCAGGGTGAGCGGGTAGGCACATAAATCACCCATCATGAAGTGGGCAAATGCATTGAGTCTTTAAAAAAAAATTCACTGAAGCTGAATGCAGCCTCTCACAACAATGACAGCTGGCACAGTGATCAGTTCTTAGATCACTCACTTAGCAGAGAAAGCCTGTACTACAAGAGGCCTCTCCCCCAGAAGATAATTCTGGGGTTTTGGGGGGTCCCCTCTCATATACAGGCTCTAAGAGTCATATACATGGTATACAGACTCATAAAACCAATGGTGCTAAAGGTTGTTTGCTGGTTACTAATGAAAGAAATCTTTCTTGCACTTAATTTGCTTTGGTAGCTGTTTTTTGCAAAGATCAGTCGAACTTGGCACTATGTTACATGTCTCACTGAGTGGAGAGGAGGAAGATGAAAGGACATAATTAGTTTTAAGACCAGTCTAAGACTCCTGTGCTTAAAGAGCGGTCCAACCCCAGGGAATTCCTTCCAGCCTGAGGCTGGGACAGGTTCCTTCACCTAATTACTGCTACTTCGTGTCCTAATGAAGTTCTGCTTCTTTTCTCTAGCGGAGCATTTCTGATGCTCCAGATAAAGAATCAGGATGTGGCCAATTTAGTTACTTTAATGAGGGGGGGGGGGGACAGAAATGAGAGGATCAAGAGATACACCTATGCAGAGCAACAGTTAATGTAATGTTTTAGCTGACAAGGTTATCCCACTATAATTTGTCTCCGAAGAGACTTACTAGGGAACATGACTTGAAAGCTCATTACCATTGCCTCCAGACAAGTTAGTATGGTCTCAGGCCTCTGAGCTTGCAATGGCTTATGTGAAAATGTATCAGCAGCACGGAGCCAAATGCAGAAAACAGATGCCTTGCTGATTGCACGTTAAACTCCAGGGCAGGTCAGCCATAGGCTAAACTATTAATTAGCTAACGTTTGTCTCTGACAGCCTTAGACTTCTTTTATTAGCCTCCTTCTCTGCTTTCATGGGTTCACCCTCTTATTCTCTCATGCTCTCTAATTGCCCAAAGCCCCTGCACAGGCCTGCCTATTTTGGCACTGTATGCTCTGAACCTCCCCATTTCTCACAGCCATGAAAACCTCCTCTCATTTAGACTGCCGAGCTGAAATATAACTTGTATAGTCAGGTGTATTAAGGAGCTGTCGCACACTAGTGTTTGAGGATGGGGCACTGTGGCCTTCCTTCCTCCTTTCCTTCCTTTTCAACTCAATAGGGAGGAAATATTTTAGTGCAAAGTTAAAAAGTATGTAATGATGGGGAATTGATCAGAATAACTGTACAACAGTTATGTCATATAGTTTAGGTTACATGTCGTCTATAATGGCAAATAACGCATCTCAGAGACGGAAGCTAACAAAGGTTTGGTTTGCATTCCAAATTGGGTTGTCAGGGTTCTCCAATCCTGGCAGTCGCTCAGAGGTCCAGGGCCCCAGACTGGGGAGCAGCCACTGTTTCAGACTTTGCCAGTTGTCGTATCAAAGAAAGAAAGCGCTAGAGGGACTCATGTTGGGAGTAAAGGCTTTGACATGGACATTACACATCTGCAGGGACCTGGAAAATTAGGAGCAATGTGGATGGCTCCTGTCCTCCTTCACCTTTTATCCTCAATAACTACCACAGTACTGGACAGCAAAGACAGTGAATGTTTATTAAAACAAAATGATTTCTGGGGTTTCTGATTTCTTGGGGTTCACCTCAGTTCATCTTAAACTGCAATAAATAACAGAACACTCAATTTAGGTAAGAGGAATTTCAAGCCCTTTGAAACTTTCTGAGAAGAATAGAATTTAATTCCAGCTTTCATGGCCAGGTCGATGTCATGAGTATCATATTCCTTCTGATGCTTAAAGGAAGCCTTGGCACATGGTATTGTGTAGTGAATATTTGTTGACTGACTCCTGTGTGGACAACCCATGGCTTATGGTCAGTTTTTAGAGTATTCTTTAAGTATCTTAGAGATGAAGACGGTAGTGTTTTTTTAAAATTGATTTTAGAGATAGAGAAGAAGGGGGGAGAGAGGAAAAAGACCTCAATTTTTTTCCACTCATTTCTGCATTCATTGGTTGACTCTTGTCTGTGCCTGGACCAGGGATCTAACCTACAACCTTGGTGGATCAGGACAGCACTCCAACCGGTTCAGCTACCCGGCCAGGGACTGTAGCTTTTGACAAAACACTTTTCTTGTATGCGGTTGTAAAGTGGAATTTTATTAAGTGTGTATTTCCAATCACACAGATTCAGTCATCTATATACGCAGGAGAAACAGAGGGAGACCAAATATACACGGAGGTACACAGTCCATGCAATTCTGTCTTGAATTCCATTTACTGAGCTTAGGCCTCTAAGAAGGTGTGAGATGAAACACCTCAGTCTACTGTGGTCTCAGCTAAACACAGCTCAGCTGTGAGAGCAACTCAGTCCCTTGCAGGGGCTTCTAATATTCCAATATATGACCAAGCACTTTTCCCCACAACTTGACTTCTAAGTGGATGCCAACTGCTTCCGGGTGGCACTCACCCAGAGAACCAGTGGTCTGCTCCAGGGCTGAAGGGAACACTGGCAGTATTGGGGCTCACTGGAAGGTGGTATATTCGTCTCCAGCGTGGTGTGATTTTGACTGTGTGTGTCTTTTTGTTTTGTTTTTGTTTTTTCCTGACACCAGCTTCAGGACCTGACACCGCTGACAGAGCGAGACTGCATGCATTCTCACCCATTAGATACCTAGACAGCGTCAGTAAAGATGACCTTTACTGTAGTCTCTCCATACTATTTTGATCACCATATGTTGCTCTGGCTGTGCTTTCCATGTGCGCGTCTACAGTTATGTCGCAGCCTAGGTACCCGCAGAAGACTAGACATACCTGTGTGAGTGTGTTGCTTTTGCACATCTTAAGTGAGTTAACATCGCCTCTCCATCCTTTTCTTCTCCAGAGTGCCTACCGCATGTTTACAAACAACACGTGTTTGAAGCACATGATCACCAAAGTCCGGCGGGACACCCACCACTTTGAACGCTACCAGCATAACCGGGACCTGGTGGGATTCCTCAACATGTTCGCAAACAAACAGCTGGAGCTGCCGAGGGGCTGGGAAATGAAACACGATCACCAGGGCAAGGTAACCCGCTTGTGGCCTTGGCACTTGGCTCTGCCCTTCAGGTGAGGGCTGAGAACCCTTTGCAAGGTGCAGCATTCCACCTCCCAGTTCGAGTGGAACCTGGATGGGCAGGCAGTTCCCACAAACAGTTCCCACACTGTCCTGAGGTCGTGTGTGCAGTGGATGGGTGGGAGGGCATTTGTTCTCGAATTACTCACTTTTGCCTGGATGTTCTTCTTCTACCTGTCATCTCTCACTGTTTTCTGCTGATTATAGAAAAGGTCGATTAGGCAGTGACACTTCCTTCTACCTAGTTAAACAGCTTGTGTTGTGGGTAGCTGAATAAAAGTTGTATTGTTTGGAGGAGGTGGCTCGGAGGTTGCTAGGCAACTGCACAAGGTGTGTCTTTGTGACGCCATCTGGGTTTGGGCCTCAGCCCTGTTGGTTTAGGACCCTGATTTTGTTGGCACATTAAACAAGAACACGGGCTGATTAATTTATGAGGAGAGTGGCCCAGCTGTGTCACACAGGCCCGTGTGACCACATGTGCACTTCCTTTGGAGACAGGTGACCCGGAAATCCAGGTTAGAACCCGAAGATCACTGTGTGAGCACGAAGTTGGCACAAGAAACTTAGTAATTTTTACAAGGTGTCCCTTTGCTAAGATTCTATTATTTGACTCTCCTGTAGCACCTACTGTGAGCCATGAAAGGTTTAAGCTTCTGACAACAGCTCCGTAGACAGTGCTGTTATTGTTATCGCCACTTAGAGCAGAGCAGCCGCAGTGACTTGCCCTGCACAGAGGCAGGCGGGGACTGAGCTGTGCTCACACCAGGCCACCTGGTTGGAGGGTCTGGGCTCCTAACCATGGTGCTGCGCAGTAACCAACTTCATTTTCCCTGTCGGTAAAGAGACTCTACATCACTCGTAGGGTGGGGACTATTAAAATGACGTGACATTTAAAGTAACTCTGCTTGGCTTATTCATTCACTAAATATTTATTGAGCACCTATGCAAGATAGAACAGCTGACTACTTCATATGACTGCCATTCTCATGGCAAGAGATGGGCTGTAAACAAAGAAATAAATAGTAACATGCCAAGAGCCATGTCAATCGAGACATATTAATGCTACCATTTAAAAGAAAGCAGGGGTCTGTTCCAGAGAAAGAAGTGGAGAGTTTTCTTCTACAGGGTGGCTGAGGAACACCTCGCAGATAAGGCTATAGGGGAGCAGAGACCTGAACAAAGTGAGTAGAAAACCGTATCAGGAGAAGAGCATTCAAGGGGAATGAAAGTGCAAAGTACTCGGAAAATGCCATTCTCCCCCCCCCCCCACAAAGTGTCCTCTAGCAATAGTACCAAGGTGCTGTGTTATTTATCCTGAGAACCTATGAGCAGTCAAAAGAGATCTTACGAACTGCATGTATTTTAATGCATGGGAGGAGCCCTCAGACTCTCCTTGAAACTATTGACTTGATTTCTGTAAACCTTTCTAATAAATCCCTAATTCCCAGCCCAGAAAGGATTAGAAGTGGCAAGCCTGAAGGTCAGAATAGATAGACGAGAATGGATTTGTAATTATGTCCCTGGACCACAGGTTAAATAGCATTATATCAGAGTCAGGTGCCAGGAAAGCCTTTCTAGAACATTAGGAAGCTGGAAGCAGGGATACCTGCCACTTCCTGTGCTCTCTCCGTCCAGAGGAACTTGTCACATTGCTGGTGCTGAATTTGGTGTAGTAGCCTGAGAGCCAAGTGTTTGGAAGCATTCTGCTAAGTGGAAGGGCATAGATGGTCAGGGTAAGGAGTTTGAAAAATGCTGGTGGTGTTATACCTGGGTATGCAAGTGCATACCTAGAATTCGGCTCTGTTCTCAACTCTGACAAGACATTGTCCTGGTGTCACGAAGAGCTGTACTCATCAGAGAACCACTGGTCCAGGAAAAACCCAAGTTGCAATAATACTGCCATGTATTTCTGCTCTGTGTAGAGACTGAACTTGCTACAGGGAATCCGGAACTTATCGTGCACACATGGAGGAGAAGGTCCCTTTCTGCCAGTCTTAACTTGCCAGACCCACTTCAGGAGAGAGCTTCTTATTAATAACTCTGGACCTTGAGAAAAGTTGAAGTTGTGTTTAGGATACTGATGATGAGTTATGATCTAGTGTTAAGAACAAGTTCTGTCTCATAGCTTTTATAAAAGTTTCGATGGTTAAACAGCAGTAAACATGATCTCGGCTATGTGAGTAACAACTATTCATCTTATTGCCTGAGGGCCTTGGACTCCTGTGGGGGTTTCAACGGAAAGGCGTGGGTAGGCACTGTAAAGAACCCTGACTGTGGGCTGGAGGGTAGCTCACCTCAGAGTCTGCTAGTGGATTAGCCGTCAAATGTTTTTTGACATGGAAGACATACAAGGACCCCTGCCTTGTGGGCAAAACGAATTATCATACATGTAGGACTGAAAACCTATTACTTTAGCTCGATCTCTCTGCTTCCTGCACTAGGACTTGAACAAGATTTTTAACTAAGCTGGACACCTTAACTAAAGCAGTCATGCCTCCTGTGATTCCTCCCTATCCTTCCTTTACAAATGACTGGCTTCCAGTGAAGTAAAGTAACTTAAAGGAGCACCGGGAGAGGCTCATGCTATGTCTGTGTTTGGCTGCACTGCTTTTTCACTGCGTGGGAGGGTAGAAGCCATAGCCCCCATCATCCAGGCAATTCAGAGGTTGTAGCGTCCCTTATGTTAATGAATTGCTTTGCTTCCAGAACATGTAAAGGTTATACTTTTTTCCATTTACTATAACGTTAAAAGCTATTAATATTACAAAATTTATTTTCCTACAGCGGTGAGTGATTTCTGGAATTGATGGGGAATAGGAGGCCTGAATCGTCACCTATATGACATAATTCTTAAGAGAAATGCTCTCACACTTAGCCTTTTGGGCTTATGATATTTGACTACATTTTCTCTTTTCAAGTGCAACCTTTTCCTTTCAAGTTTTCATTTCTGAGTGCCTACTGTGTGCAAGCTACTGTGATAACAGTGATAAATGCTAACACTCAATGTAGTATGATGGGCTATACAACATTTACTACATGGTGTTGTGAGCACTCAGATTGCTTCCTTCCATGCTCCCAGCAGCCTTGCAGATAGCTGCTCTGTGTACCCACATTTTGTAGACAAGGAAGCTGAGGCACACACAGCATGGCTAAGTGCATTGACCAAGGTCCCACAGTTAGTAAGAGATGGAATCGAATTGGAACCCAGGCAGTCCTGTCCAGAGGCGGGGCTCTTGTCCTGCCTCTCACTGTGAGCAGGGTCCATCGTGGCAAAGGGAGCAAAGGTGCTGTGGAGGAGGCGGGGGCTTGCAGACGCGTCATCAAAGGGCAGCCCCGTGGGTGGGTTGCTCTTAGCTCCCTGGGCATGATGACCAGTCCTTCCTTGAGTTCCCTCACCACTCGGTTTGTATTGTTTCATAATGTCTATCCCCATTTTTCTCATGGTATACTTGTTAGCGTGTTTTGTCTTCCCAGACATCCCCTTCTTAAGAATTCTTTTATTTATATTTCAGTTACTCCCTTTTCTCCCTCAGTTCCTCTCACAAAGAAGGTTCTCAAAACAAGTTTGATGAATGAATGAAACTCATCACCTTTAGTTTCCCGCTTACTCAGTAATCTCTCTTCTCAGGACAAAGACGAAGCTGGGAGGGTCCCTGCCCACCCCACTCCCTCCTCCTCCTGTGCTCTCACCAGAAGTGGCTCCTAGACTTACCCCATCTGACCTCTCCTAATGCATGTGTTGTCTTGGATTTTTCATATTACATGTTTGAACAAGGTAGTAATTATGCTCGTACTACACTTCAGCTCTCTTCAATTTTGAAAGACTTTTTTTTTAATTACTTAAGGCCAAGGGTTTAAATTAAGTGAGATTTCACAGGATTCTAGGTCTGGCATGTTCTTGGTAGTTCTAGGGTGAAAAATGTCCTTGACTGGCATGAAAGAAATAAAATATTCATTTAAAATTAACTATTACAGAATAAGAACAGAATGATGATGAGGATGACAATGATGATAATGATGGTACCTGCATTTGTTCAACTCGTACCATGTGCCAGGCACTGCAGTAGGTCCGTTTTCATGGATTATCTTATTTATGCTTCATGGCAATTTATAAGTTGGGTATCTGCACCAGGGGTGGGGGTTGTCTTTGCAAATGAGAAATACTTTATTATCCCAGGGAGGAAGAGTTTCAGGCAAGATGCTGGAATACTGGTACCCTTCAAGGCTGAGTCACACGTAAAGGTCTTGATTTGATCACAGACGTTCTAGCCAAAGCCAAAGCAGTAGAACACAGATATGACTTCATGCTTAAATATCATAGAGTCCTTACGGTGTTCTTCACTGCCAGAGACACACAGAATAAAGTCAGGGAATGGAGTTCACAAATATTGACAGCTTATTAGAGGCCAGATTCTATATTAGATGCAAGCCTCTATGCTAGAGATACTATGTTAATTCTTTTAATTTTTATAATAATTCTATGTAACAGGTTTTACTAGATGAAGAAGCAAAGGCTCAAAGAGGTTAAGGATGCAAGTAGATTCTTGAATACAAATCCATGTTTTTCTGTATTCAAAACCTATAATTATTTGTCTGTACAAGGTTAGTCTAATTCTCACTGACCACTAATCACCTAACTTGAAATAAGATCATATAAATTTACTATCATATGATGTCAGAAATTTACTGTCATAATGTCATATAAATTTCCTTATTTCTATAATGAGTAGGTTGATCATCTTTTTATATGCTTATTGGCCACTCGTATATCTTCTTTGGAAAGAATGTGTTTTGTATTAACCCATTTTTAATTGGGTTATTTATTGTTCTATTGAGTTCATTATATATCCTTAAAATTAGTCCTTTATCAGATATATACTATGCAAATATTTCCTTCTGTGGATTGTCTTTTCGCTATCTTGATAGTATTGTTTATAGCACAAAAATTTACA